TATTTTTTTATTTTTTTATGTGGATGATAATCCCTGCAGGACCCTACAAGACAAGGAAAATTCCCCACATAATTTCAAAGAGAAAAATACCCTCATTCTCACCCCATTCTAGTGATAGGGATCCCTATGAGACCTATGGAGATCAGGACAAATTACCACCCCTAATCTTGCATCAATCGCCTGTTTAAATTTATTAATGTAATAGTGAAACTAAAATTAATGTCAAATTTTATATTTTTTTATACAAATTAATAATAAAAATGTGACCTTAATCTATACTCAAGATTCAAATTAAAATAATCCTTTTTCATTCTAAATGTTTAAAGAATTTTTTAATCTTTACTTTAAGAGTTTATTTATTATTCTCTTATTATTAGTTTATAAAAAAATAAATTTTTAAGTTTAATTTTATCAATCGTTTAATTAAATCATTTCATGTGATGTTAGTGTAAAAGATAAAATATATTTTTATAATTTTTTATACAAATTAATAATAAAAAGACGAGGTAAATATATTTATAACTTGTGCAATTTCTTCATAACATAAAAATCCCAATGTTTAAAAATAATAATAGTAGTAAGATAAAATAATAATAATAATAATAATAGTACTAATTTATTTTTGATAATCAGATACGGTGATGGAGTAGGAATGAACAGAACGCATCTCTTCGTATCACCGTCATCGTAGTATATGCCCCATCAACCATGAAGTTCATTTTCAAGTCCCCCGAACTCGTCCCGCAGCAATGGCCCAAATCTGATATCGTGGGCTTTCAAAATCTCTGGAGGCCACGAACGGGGCTGCGCACGATAGGCTCCGAAGCTACGTCATTGGTGCCATCAAGACACCCGACGCCCTTCGCTGGATTGCTCTAGCGGTGCAACCTCGCATGGTGGCAGCGCTCCAGTCATGGCCTCAGAAGGGTAAAATCAAAACATACAATGAAGTGAAAAAGGTGAAGTCGTCCTCGAACTTTTGCTACGTTCGTAGGAATTCATGG